TTGCAAGCGTGCAAGCCGTAATCTCACTTGGTACGCGCGGTACAAAGTAATTCGGATGTAGTGTACGGCGTACCCGCTACTGATAATTCCGGCGACTCACAACTTGAATGGGTTCGACTCCCAGGATCGTAACAGTGTGAACGGCAACTCGATTGCCAAAAGATTCTGGTGCTTTGATGGCACCGATTCCCTTTTTTGGCAAATGTAACTTTATCCTGCGTGACATTACCAAGCTTTGATCAGCTAGATCAAACGACCTCCAAAGGCTTTACTCACCGTATCCCGCCTCCTCCACCATCCTTTCTGGTCCCGCCGCCTCCCGCCCTTGCCCCTGCACCCTTCATTCCTGCAAATTTTCAAGTGAAAAACAACCGTCTTATCTCAATGTGCCACAGAACAGTAACCGATGGATGATTTGAATTTTCCCAGCTTGGATCTGCCTCCTCGTCGTCGTCGGGCACGATGAGCTCGAACGTGAATTGACGGCACATCAGAGATGTGACTTCCAGTGACACTCGTTACCGCAAAAGGGAATTAGTGCCCATCAAAGTTCCAGTACTGTAGTATTTCGACCAAATTTCGACCACTTATTCACGGCATGTCACCCGTCACCACCAAAGTTCACTGGCTAAGGTCTTCATTCCTCGGCAATCACAGAAAATTACCATAAATGGACGTCCGGCGAATGCCGGAGCGAAAATTTTGACGTTTTTAAGCCCCATTAGGCCTCAAAACCTCCCCGTCACCGTCACCGACCCAAATTCATTCATTTCACGAGGGGCCTGGAGAAAATGCCGCGCCTGCCGCGCACTGCCGCGGCACTGCCGCGGCGTTGACGCGGCGGGCCCAAACATGAATCCCTCTCGTGTCAGGTTTATCTATCGGCATTCTATGAGTGTGGAAAGGGTTTGTTGAGCTTCAGGGAGTGTACACCGACTTCACTCCCCCAGAAATGCCACAACCCAAGTTCAACTTGAACATCTTTTTGGGTTGGAAGGCATCGGCTCGTGTCATGGGTGAGGGAAACAGATTTAGGGGGGTGAAGCCACCCTCAGATGCATTGAACAGGGTGTTCTAAAGACTCTTTCAAAACTTTACCAAGCGCGGCAGGTGCGCGTCAATGGCGCGGCAGTGGCACATCAATTCTCTGCACTGCCGCGGCACTGCGCGGCAATGGCGCGGCAATGCGCGTCAACGTCGCGGCACCACCTGAACTGAATACTTCTCCTGGAAGCATGCCGAGTCAATTTTAAACCGGTCAAACAGTGCTTGGGGTCCCGGGTAGTTGTACGGCCACTTTTTCTACCATGTCGCGACTTTCGTAGTTGGGTTTCTGTGAAGACATTCGAACGATGCACCACATTATTTGGTCCGGATAGCAAAATTTTTATGAACCGCGCCAGGGGAGGATGGTATTCCGTCCTCAAGCGAATATCCGAGGCCATTCAACCCCGGCTTCGATCAGCGGTAAACTTTCTTCCCACAGGGACACGAGAGAGGCGGACACCCATTCCTCAGCAGCAGGTCGTTGCTGCGGAACGGTGTCGCGGAGACTTAAGATACATGGACTCGAAATTCAGTGGTTCCCACGGTTGAAATACTTATTCTTGCACGGATCTGCAATTGGCCATTGAATTCACCGGCAGATAAGAGAGGAGAATGCCGAGAGGGTAATTGCTGCGGCAATGAAAAGCTGGCTCTCGCTAATGAAGCGAGCAGTCTGCCCGGTCAATCAGCGTGGAAGCAGGCGTGAATGAGGAAATCCTTGTTCAACAATTCTTCTACGTGTAGTACCGTTTATGACACTCCGCTGTTGTGGCTGACGGGGTCAACGCAAAATACAATGCATCATAGTCTGTCCCGGACGATGTATGCTGCGAATTAGGTTTTGCTCCGGCTTGTCAGAAAATGCCAATGGCGGGGCAGGGAGATTCAGACAATCAGCTTGCACACCCTTGAGCACGGCATTGGCCTCACGGCTCGTGTCGACTGTCTACTTGACTTCGGAGGATCTACTCTGTGGTTCTTGGTCAAGTCCCTTCTTCGTTGTGTCAATTCAGATACACCTTGGCTAAGCTACCCTGGTCGCGCGGCACGCTCGCGGCAAAATACAACTACGGATGCGCCAAAAGAGAGAGCGGCCTTCAGTCGTCAAGTTTTGAATACAATAAGAGCCTTTGTCCAAATCAATTCACAGTTGTACGTCGCGCACCACTGACAGTCACTGACGCAGCAACACATCTACCGAAATCAAGAGCCCCTTTAAAAAAGCGCCTTTGGAACCTTACAAGACATGGTTTGAGTCGGAGGAATTCTTCCGTCTGCTGAACAGATGTGGGTAATCAAGGCGTGGATGGCGAGGAACCTGGAATACTGCCGCCTGAATGGCAATTCTAGCGCGCATGATCGATGGCGTTGAGCCGGGTTTTGAATTTGGTGTAATACTCTCGTGGCTGTCAAGAAATTCCGTATTTGATTGATTCAACCACGATCGGTGAATCTTCCGCGTACAAATTATGCCAAGTAGAATATCACGCCTAGTGGGTACTTTTGGAAGCGTCAAAGTTCCTGGGGAATCGGTTCAGTGGTTCTGGTGGGATACCCTATTCGGTCATCTCGAATATAGTACTTGCGTTGTGCAAAAAGAATCGGGTTTCCATTTTTTTTTTACTCTGAACGGTGTATTAGGCTTAGGCAAAGCTAACAACACTTACTCAGAGCTCACAGAACAATCCGTCAAAAGTTATACGCTGCGCGGCATTCTGCCGCGGCAAAACACAGCCACCGCCTCGTCAATGCAGCGTTCAATGTAACACTTTCCTGTGTCAGTATACATACTCAAAAGTATTAGAACCGTCCCCAACACTCAACCTAGCATGGTTGCTCAACAGCTGCAGGCTGCACGGGACTCTCCCGGCCAAAAAGACTTCTACTCTTTCGCTGGTTCAAGCAATGTTCTACCAACGGTAGTCAACATTCTGCAAGAAGATCGTCCCATTCCATGTAGCGGGCCTAGTCACGCCTAGCTGTGCCGTGGTGATGTGCTTCGGATCTAGGGAATTGGTCCAGTGGTTCACTTGAAATTGCCTATTTGGTCGTCAACTCAAGTATGATATGCCAAAAATTGGGGTTAGTTTTTTTTACCTAGAATCATGAATTTAGCTTAGGCAAAGCTAACAACAGGTCCTCAGAGTCTACCGGGCTGTTCTACAAATGCTATAGGGCTCGCGCGGCACTGCCGCGGCAAAACACAGCCACGCGCGTCAATGCGCGTCAATGCCGCGTCAATGCGCGGCAGTGCCGCGGCAGTCGCGGCATTTTCACCCAGCCCTTTCACGAGGGCTTGTCACCCGTCACGTGAATAAGTGGTCGAAATAGTACAGTATGATTGGAAGAGGCCGGTGAACGGCGGGTCACAAACAGGGGAAATTTAGGGATTTGGGGGAATATTGGTTAGCTTAGAAATCTTGGAATAGTAATACACGGGAAGTTCGATAATAGATATTTGAAAGTGTATACACGTTGGGCATGTATGGTATTGGCCGTCGTGTAGAGAATGGGATTGGATTCTAAACTGGTTATAGTGTGCACGAAGGTGATTGACAGCAGTTTCGAGGATAGAAATATCGAGGTCAGCTAAATTCCAAATTTTCAGATCCTTCAAGAGTTCATTTCGATTGCAGAAGGAACAACCCTTGTGGAGCAGAGCCACCGCGGTTGTTTGGGAAGGATGTTCTCGTCGGATCTAGAGTTCCTACTTAGTCGCGAAATTGCAGGGCAGCACAGATGGTACTTGCTTGTTGAAGAGATTCTTCTGGTTCGATCTGTGGCCACGATTTAGCCCAAAATTCTTCGTCGTCCACAAGAAGCTGGAGCTTGGTCGAGGTAGCCATCGCGCGACGATGATTACGGCTGTGATCGTTACTCAAAGTAGATGATGCTGCGACGTCCTGCGGCTTGAGCATCGGAAGTATGCACGATGCATGACCATGTACAGGAGTGCATTCGTAGGTCGTGAATGAGACGGTCAGACTTTTTGGATGTTAGCGAGAGACCGTGTTGCCGTGCAATAGCACGAAGAGCTGCAGGAGAAAGCGATGACGGAAGGCCGGTAGTGCTCTGTAGCATGTGCACTAGAGTGCGCAATTTCTGACCGTCAGAAAGATAATGCGCAATCGTAGTTCCCTGATTAGATACTGTAATTGATATTGAATATGGGCATGAGAACAGAATAAATGAACGCGCACCGACACTGGACTGGCCATTATGATTTACGATTGTCTTCGGAACGATGCCGCCGTTATTGGACTTTCGACGCTTGGATGCTCAAGGAAAAGGCAACTCATTCACACTATTCAGTTCAGCAGGACGGTTCGAAGAAGAGAATTTCGATTGCATTGACAATGGACGGAGCAGACAAGACGACGACGGACTCGGGCAAGCACAGCTTATGAGTAAGCGAGAATGACTACTAACGTCACGTTTTCTGGTCATTTTCGGTGCCCATAGGCACAAAAGAACTAACGTTCTGTTTGTGAATCTCGAGATTCTCGTTGCCGTCCACAGCCTAATATTCGTGCATCAGCCCGGCTTTTGATCGCTTTTTGCTTCTTCAAGCCGCAAAGATGACTCAAGTTCCTAACTAAGCGCACAGAACTCGTCTGGAAAGTTACTACACAGCGATATTGTTTGGCGCACACTTTGGAACACACCGTGGACACGATTCCGACTTCCGAACAAAATTGAACCGCCCGTGCACAATGCCCACCCCAATGAATAAATCGGATGTAGTGTACGACGCACACCCACTGCGAATGGGAAGAAACATGAAGGAAGGGCAATCTCAACGAGGGGGAATCCTGGGTTCGACTCCCAGTATCCGAATAGGCATCACCGCTCTCTTTTTGTCACTCACGACTACGTACTTTTTTTTCATTTTGATGCCCAGACAGTACGAGTCTCGGGTAACAGCTATTCCAGTACACATGCCAACGAATAATTCGGATGTGGTGTACGGTGCGCACCCGCTGTGAATAGGACAGTTCGCGAGAGTTATGAGCGGGAGGCCTGGGTTCGATTCCCAGCATCCGAATGCTTGCTGAGTGATGTTCCATTTTATTCCTTGTCGCTCGGCTTCTTTGAATTAGTGCACCGCAGGGATTCACTCGATTGGCAAGGACCACTTGATTGTCCCCTGAATTACTGTACCAATCTGCACGCAGTCCATTATTCTTTTCCTTCTCCCCTGCCCCCTCCCGCCCCCCTCCCTCCCTCTCGACGCTCGCAAAGCTCAAGCAGACCCACCCCCGCCCCCGACGTGCGTCTTCTCCTTCAACCGCTGGATCAGCTTCGGCTTCTCCCCTTTCCCATCTCCACCATGATCTTGATCTTGACCTTCTCCCTCACCCACATCATCATTCTCAGGCGTCTCGTCCCCCTCATCTCCCCCGTCCACACTCGAGCTTTGCCTCTCCATCGCGGGAGTGGGAGCGGGTGCCTCGCGCGAATGCGAGCCAGTAAGAAGGGAATCAAGCCCCTGCGCATTCGCATTCATCCCCGCCCCCGCCCTCCCCACGCGCGCATGCAGCTCAGGTACATCATGAACAGGCACCTGCGCACCCGCAGGCACAACGGGCGTCGGCGCGGGCGTCTCGGGCTCCGACGTGATCCCCGCATAAGGATTCGCAACTGTCACTGAGTTAGGCGTGGCTAGGCTCTCGCTCTCCGTCACGGCGTACCCGCTGTCGAGCGATGGGAGCGAGCCGGGGGGCGTCGATATGAGGTCGGCTGACGCGTCGGGCACGGCGTGCGGACGCGAATGCGCGCCTTGCAACGAGGCGGTAGGGACTGCGTGCACGTTCGAAGCCGCGTGGGCCTGCGCGTGCACGCGTTCCTGGGTGAGCGAGGACGAGGAGAGGGAGAATGAGGGGGGCGGGGAGGATTGTGCAGATTGTGTGGATTGTGCGTGTGATGGTAGATGTTCGGCAGCGAGCGCGAGGGTGATTGGACGAGCGCGGGCGACGCGGTGGAAGAAGAAAGCGAGGGCGACGTGGAAGAGCACGAATGCCCCGTGTGCGCCATCGTGCTGAGCGCGACGGTGTCCTGTCTTGCCGCGGTCGGGGGAGGCGCGGGGTGCGGGCGCGGTGCGGGGGAAGTAGGGGAAGTCGGAGTCGCGCGCGATGGTGGTGGTGGGAGCGCGACGTCGAGGATGCGGACGCAGAGGTGGACACGGACGTAGACGAGGCGGCGAGGGAGGAATTGGACGGCGGCAGCGGGGGGAGAGATGGTTCGGATGTGAGTGGTTCTGGCGAGGCTACGAAAAAACAAATGTATAAGTGACCAGGTAACGAAGAGTGAGGGAGACGCACGCAGATACGCCGAAACTCCCTGCGGCAAGTACGTCTTGGTGGTAGCAAGGGTCGGCAAATACGCCTGCGCGCTCTCGAGCAACGAGCCGTCTTGTCCCCCTCCTCTCTGCCCTTCCTCCTGCACCTTGACCGAATTCTTCTCCGTCGACAACACCGGCTGCGGTTCCGGCTCCAGATGCGCTGGAAATCCCCCGGGCATGGCGGGCCCCGGGGTGGTTACTGGCGCACGCGTAACGCCGATGTCGTTCATGCCCTCGGCCAATTCGCTCGCGGGCGTCGAGGGGAGCGCAGAGGCGATTGCGGGGACCATGTTTGGTGCAGAGGCCGTACAGGACATTTTTTGTCAATTCAGTCGTCTCAGAGGCGTTTTTGAGGGCTAGAACGAGGAGCGAGAGGGATGGGAATCCGAGCAGAATTTGCCGTCGAATCTGAAAGAAAGCCGTGGAGAGTTTCTCAAGCAGGCGGGGATTCGAGGAGCATCCGGTCAAAAGATCCCTGCCTTTTATACGGGTGCGCCGGCTGGGCAGGGCCGCCAGGCGGAGTGCGACACTGAGCAGGCATGACGTGAAGGCGGGACGAGGTAAACAGATGCAAGCATCGGCAATCTCCGGGCCGTCTCTTGCTCTCGACTTTCATTTCATGGTCAATCCACGTTTTTTTTCTGAGCTGCTCTCCAGCTCTCATTCTACCTTGATTCTACCTCTTGGATGTTTCACTCTTCTTGCTCCACCTTGGAAAATCTTGGACTCTCGCCCATCCTTGACGGATCCGAACAGCTGTCGTGCATATGCTTTATGCATACTTTGTGCATACTACTAAAGCAACCCGGATATGGAGCGCGGCGCAGACTCGCAACAAGCCAACAAACTCAGCCAATTCTGCGCCGGAACCCGGGTTCGATCCCCAACGCTTAAATACAGAACTTGCAAATCCTCCTTTTTTCTTCTTGCTCAGTCGAATCATCCGAAGTCGTTCTGCGTACCATGCTCGGACGTTCCCGTGCACGTAAGTACGCGCCAGCAACCGCTGCTTTTGATGGGATGTTTTCGCAGGCTATCTTTGAAGGTCATTTGAGTCCGGCATTCGGACTCGGAGCAGACAAGAATTCGGACGTGGTGCGCGGCGCACACCAGCTTCATTTGCACCTGCGGAGAAGTCATTGTCATGCTAGAGGACTGGGTTCGACTCCCAGCGTTTCGATGTTGCGGCCGTTGCATTTTTTTGAAGGAGGCGGGATACCTCGATGGGTGTGCGTGGTCTTTTTTGCTCCCGAACAGCATGGCGCGTAGTCGCCCTCACTTATCTTCCTTTCCATAGGACAAACCCCTTTGCTCTGGCCTGCAAGGATCCTTCTGTCTCGCCCGTCTCAAAAGTCCCCCTCTCGTAAGCGTCCTTTTTTTATCTGCTTCCCAAACTCAAACTTCGCAAAAATAATCACACCCGGCTCCAATGCAGGAAATTCTCAGGCTCAACTCAGGCTTGTCTTTTGCTCACTCGGCGAAGTACGGTCAAGCTCGAGTGCCACTCAATCTGAAATTCGACAAATCCGGGTTCTCATGTAGGTGAATAACTCGGACGTGGTGCGTGGCGCACACCCGCTACCAATTACTCCGTTACTTCCTCGACATCGTACATGCGGAAGCCCGGGTTCGAATCCCGACGTCCGAATCCTAAGCCTTGTGACTCACGGTTTCTTTTTCCAAAACTAAGTATGGAAGACGCACCTCGACAGTTCAACCGTGCTCCGTTTTCATCTCTTGCTCCCATAAACCAGACGCAGTCTCGCGGCTGGCTGAGGACGTACCTCAGCCTCGAGACTTCGGATGTCGAAGTAATGTTGACCACTGCGGGAGATCCGGGCTCGATTCCCGGCGTTTGACTAGGCGATGGTAGGGATTTTTTCTCGTTTGCCTCCCAGGCAACTGGCAGGGGGCTATTCAATATTTGAAGAGAGAGGATATTAAATCGTTCAGGTAAGTACCTCGAACCTCCAGTTTCTCAGCTGATGATACCTGTGACATTCGCTCCGACATTCCCCCTCCCAGAACGCATCCCATGTAAGAGAGAAGCCCGGACGTCGTGCATGGACCAGCATGGTGCATACCGTCGACAAATAACACTCCCGCGACCCTGTATGCGGGAGACCGGGTTCGATTCCCGGCGTCCGACTCCAATTGGGTGTTGTGGTCTTTTTGAACCAGTACGTGTACTCATTTATCCTCCATCTTCCTCCTTGCCTTCTTGGACGAAGTATCATCCAACCCACACCCAGTTCCCTGTCACAACCATAATATGGAAGCACTCCTCCCGACTAACCTGCGGTTTGATACCCTAAGGTTCTTTCAGATGAACCACTATATGCCTTTTCTTTAAAAAAAAAAACAGGGGAGACGGTAGCCATGAAGCTTAGAGGAATTGATCGATTGATCGATAACTCCCACGGTTGAACTCACGCCGACAAAAAATTGTTGATGAGAATGACAAATCCAGGCAAGCCTTGCGAGAGCTACGACCGTCGGGATCGACTGGATGTTTTTGCATGCCAGATGAGATATGGTGTGGAGCAAAATGTGGAATGCAACCGTGAATGCCGTCCTCGATGTTTTGCACCAGCTTCGAAGCAGCTGAACATATGTTCCGCCCGCGGCACACAGTATGCACAAGACATAGCAAATTAGATGTCGTGTACCTTACGCCCCCGCTGAAAAATGCCCATGACAGAACGCGGAAAGCCTGGGTTCTACTGCCATCATCCGGAGTATCTCTACAACGAGACCTGTTTCGGTTTTGATCGAAGCTTCTCCTCCTTCGGTTCAAGTCTGTACAATCACAGGTCTAAGACCGATCTGCATGATGGCATGATGATCAGGCCAGGCCCATTTTGCAAGCCAAATTGGGTTTGGAGAGAACTTTGGCAGAAAGGAGCCTGTGGGAAAGAAAATTAAGATTCTAGGGCCCCCAGACGAAATTTGAACAAGCCGTGCCGTGACAAAAGTTAAACTCGTCAAAGCGCCCGGTGACCCGTAACACCTAGACTCGTAACCAGTCTGCAATTTACGGCAAATCTTCGGTGCAAGCACTGTGCCGTAGGCAGACTGGTACAACTCGGGCTAAGCGAAAGGGCTGAGCCCGGAGTTTGAAATTGTTTCTTCCTGGCTACGTTCAACCATTTTGAATTGAATTCATGTGGCCCAAAGGAGGGATTTGATTCTATGACCCTAATGGCAATGCCTCATTTTGCTGGTTCAGAATGTCACTGGAGGACATGGATGTTTAGAACCGCAAACCTAGTTTACAATGATGGCGCTCAGCCACCGTTTGATATGCCGCGATCGGCTTAAGAATTCAAACTCCGGGTGCAGCCCTTTTGGGCGTCCCGAGTTGCTGCCTACGGCATAGTGCTTGCACTACAGATTTGCTGTGGCATACTTGCGACTTCAATTCTCCGCTTGTTCTCCGCTGCCACAGCTTGGCCACAGCTTGGCCATAGTTCTATGCCCCTGGCGGTCCTGGGCTTCCATCGACCTTTTTTATACTCTCCTGTGCAGCATCGGCCGCCCATCTTGGCTTGGTTATCTTTATAACTTCTGTCTGATGGTGCTCTGAACACCAGTTTCTGCCTTCGCCGCGGCCGAACAGCATGCACTGCAGTCTGCGGGTGTTAACTTTCAAGCGCTTGGGGCAGAAAGCTGTCCTGCGACTCCTGCCATCTGTTCGTATTATA